TTTAGCTGGTATAAAGACGTATGCACGTGACTAATTTCTTACTCAAGATTGGATAATTGCTTCATGAATTATTAATGAGTTTTTGAAACGGATATACAGGGTGTATAAAAAAAACCGCAACTCGGAATTTCCTAAGAAATCACTTTGCAGTTCTCAAGCATAAAAGATTTTAGGCCCCTGGGAATTGAAATCAAATTGCTAATAGATCATATGTTGTTGTTGTACTGTTAAATAAATGCATAAATTTTGCTTTATGCACCCGCGTGTGCAGTAATTTTGACAGTTGTGCCATTTTAAATTCCCATGCACCTAAACTCTTTTGTCCTTTTCTCTCTCGATTTCTTGGGAGATTCCGAGGTTGCGTTTTTTTTATACACCCTGTATCACCGTTCTTTTCGAACTACAAGAAGCAACATATGTTACCATAGCAACGAACAATGTGTTACCAAAACTAACATAATTTAAAAAAAACACATTAAAATACATGAACATCCCAATATCTACTGTGAGTGCTGCGTAAAACCTAAAAATACGATGTTATAATTAATTGGATTACCAGTTAACGGACCTGTAAGGTCAAATTCGCGGACCTTGAGGATATTCCCAAGCAAGTTCTGCTAATTTAGACAACGGTAACGAACGTGTATACATACAATAGATAATGGAATCTTGTACATGATCATGTCATGGAATCTTGTACATGTGTATACATGCAATAGATCATGGAATCTTGTACATGGATCTTTGGAATCTACTTGAGTTCATCTTATTAATTGTTGACGTTTGTGCTCCTCTCGTTCCTTTATTTTTATTGAGGTCAGCAGAACTCTCCACTAATTACAGCGATAGTTCATGAGTGCTGAATTAAATTTCGTGTAGGCGTTAGTAAACATTCATGAAAACCAAGGAACTTGCAGTTTTTGGACTAGCTGCTATATCAATGGGAAAAATAATAATAATTCTAAATAAAAGAAGCGCATTATCTGAAAATGATGGGCCACTTGAAAGTCCGGACCTAATAAAACACGACCTGCGAGTTTTTTAAATGGCTTCAAAAACGTTTGCATAAGTCAAATCTGAATATGAAAAATCTTTATACTGTATAAAAATCTTTATATAAAAATCTTTATATAAAAATCTTTATATAAAAATCTTTATATAAAAATCTTTATATAGTTTGCATAACAATGGTCTTTTGTTAAAGTGTTCTTTAGCTGGTATAAAGACG